CCTTGGACAAAAAACTCACTTGGGGCACACATTTAAAACTAAAACGTAAAACATTAAACTCCCGACTCCATCTCCTCAGACCTCTACTTAAATCTCAGCTCTCTCTCTTCAATAAACTAATCATATACAATTTTTTAATCCGTCCAGTCTGGTCCTACGGCATACAACTATGGGGCACAGCCAAACCTTGAAACACCAAAACTATCCAGGCGTTCCAGTCGATCTGCTTGCGCCTAATAACCTCTGCCCCTTGGTATGTCACAAATGAAAACTTACATAAAGACTTAAACATACCAACACTCGACCAACTAGCAAATTCGCTCTACTCAAATTTCCATTCAAATCTAATTACTCATTTTAACCCCCTAATAAAACAACTATCCTCGGCCTTCCTTCCCGATAATGCTCCCAGACGATTAAAGAGAAGACGGCCTAGAGATCTACTATAATAACTACAATAAATAATAATATAATGAAAAATAATTTTTTCTACTTCCTAGCCGGGTGACGCTGCTGAGTGTCTTACCATAACTGTTAATTTTTCATTGTCATGTATATAATATCTTTTATCAAATTTGCTTAATGTACTCACTGTATACATTGTAAATATATTTTCAGATAATAATAATAAAAAAAAAAAATTTTAAAAAAAGTATGTGTCGTCGCAGCGGACTAGAGCGCCAGAAAAAAATAAAACCACCGAACTACCCCTGGAGACATATTATATCATAATGAAAAAAGTATAAAAATAAACGGAGGCGACGATGGTCGGTAACCGCACTGGCGGATTGCCTTTCCTTACTATTATGCATCACAGGCTCGGCCTTCTCCGACGCCGTTAAACCGAGAGATCTGCGAATATTATCGCGACCGCTCGCAAAAGACTTTCGCATTTGAATTTTCAATTACTGCAGATTTTTTTTTTTTATTGTTACTTGCCCCGTCAGACTTATTTTACCAACCCCCCTTCCCCCTCCTGTCATCCATTCTGTCATTCGACCGTTATTGTTATTTCGGCGGACTTGTTCCGTTAACAGTTGCCGCACACGCCTTTTGGGACTTCCAGAAAAGGGTCGGCCACAATTCGAGTATAAGCCGAGAACTTGGGTGAAAACTTTGAGTGTGTGTATGTGTGTGCGTTTACCACGCACTACAGGCGCATGTCTACGTTGCCGGCTAAGTGCCATGTGCTCGGTGCGTTCAGTCGGTTCGCTCGCCAGTCTGTAACGTTAACCGGAAATCGACGCGAGTGCTTGTCAACGAAAACGTGGCAAAGGTTTCGAACTGTTTGCCGTACTTGATGAAATTATTCACCATCCAATTTGGTTTATTATTGTTATTGTTCTATGGCGAAATGACTACAAGTTTCGGCTCGATGGTCGTCTTGCCAGAGGTTTGTTTATTATTCACTGAAAATATACACCACAGTTGATATTATGATAAAAAAAACATAACGATTTGTATAATTTTAAAAAATATAAAATTCGTTTACCCGCCGTTTAATTTAATAACAAATTTTTTATTTCGAAAACGGTTCATAAAAATAATAATAGCTCATAGTTTTAAATATTATATGTAAGCAGAAATTCGGCAAATGGTTTACAAGGCAATCCTTCATAAATCCTTAATATGAAAAAGATCACCACAATTGACGGACAACATACTTTTAAAAGATTCGTGATAACCGACATTAGTTGAATATTGTTAAATATTGTTTTTCACCGTTATTTATTACTTACTAAACTAATAACATTTTTTTTTGAAAAAATGGTTTTATAGTTGTTTGTATGATTAACGTACAGTATTTTTCGAGAATTTTTTTTGGTAGTCCTATAGGGAAAGTAAAATATGTATTTTATCTTTATGATCATATAGATATAAGGTCTATTACCGTCGTGTGTACTATGTACACACGATAGCCATTTTTTAAGAACTTTAAAAGTTCAACAACAGCCTACATTAGGTCCCATACTAAACTTCCATCTACACATTTAGAGACATTATTGCAAAACTTCAAAATTCCTAATATTTGAATTAAGATCTTTCCTATGTATAGTACAGAAACTATAATAGGTTGTTGATACATGGTTGTCAAACATCGTAAAAGATAATATTTTCTTTAAAATTCATAAAAACTTACTAATTTGTTTTTAGAATAGAACACCACTGATAACCATGAAAACATAGATATAGGTCTAATCGATTTTTGACATATGTGGCCTATAACAATATTGTTAAGCTTATATACAGTTAAAAAGTATAAGTTAAAACACAATAAAATATATTATATTGTGCTCATCCCATAATTATTACACTTAAATACTTTGTAAGTCGATTTAATTGTCAATCTAAAATGTACGGTCAAAGTTGATGTTTAGGTGTCTAAACAGTTTTAAGTAATTTACCCTTTTCAATTTGAATGTAAACATTATGTTTTGCATTATGTTTAACAAGAAGGGTTGAACAAATATATATATAATGACCGAAACGGAATTGTCTGTCCTCATACTAAAAGTGTAGAACAAAACGTATAGTAGGGTGTATTGTTATAATTATTATTACTGTTACCAGACTATAATAATCCAAAGGGCTATTGTGTCATTTATCATTGGGGGAGAGGCTTATGAATGTGACGTACGTGACTCGTGCCCATAGCTTAGCTTTCGGTTTGAAAATATATCAATTCGCTTGCCATTATTGTTATTGCATTTGTCGCAGCGCAAACAATATATTGTTTGGTTGTCATCAAAAGTTAAAATACAGCGTGTATGATATGAGCACTCAGTTAAAAATGTTATTTTTTGTTTTACTAAATATTTGTTGACAAGATTACTTTAAAAGTTATTGATTGGATTTTTTATGAAAGTGAATTGATTTTTTAAATTTATATCCACTATTTTCAACGCAAAAAAGTATACTTAACAAAGAATAATGATTTATTAAAAACAAACAACTTGAGTATAAAAATATTATTGTGTTTTAACTTATACATATTAGACAATTTGTTATACACACACACACACACACACACATATATATATATGCATTAACCAAAGTGTCTCTAAAAAGTAAAATTACAAAATTGCAATTATCTCTGTTTGTTTTACGGTTAATAGATCATCTTGTATAGTTAACAAACTCCCGTGTCTGTTCTTATGTTCTATAAAGCTCTTACTCAGTTTCTATACTTAAAAACATTAAAGGTTCAGACAAAAAGTTAAATTAAATTCAAAAGCAGACTCAGTGTTTTTGCGCTGGTCGTAAATCGTTTTTTTTTTTTTTTTAATAATCTTGTCTGAAGCAAATATTGTATTATTAAAACTATCAATAAACAAATTTATTTTTAGCAGTTTTACTTATAAAATATTGTTAAATTTGCTTATAAACTACTGAAAATCCATATTATAATATAGATTTTCGGTATTTAATTTAGTCAATAGGAAAAGTAAGTTATATTTCGAGAAACGACTATTGGTAATAGTCTAAGATAAGCATTTGAAGAAGGTTAAAACAAACATTTGCCTGTGTTAGATACTGGAATGTTGTTTTCAGTGCATGTTTAGAATTCTGAAATTGGGTACACAGAATGTTATGTTTGAAACTATTAATCTTGCATGAACGAGTAGGTAGAGTTACTTCGATTTACTTTAACGCGTCACTGGTAGGTGCAACATATTGTTTTAAATTGGTTTGCAAGTTTTCAGAATTAATTTAATGTATTTTCATTAGTATACATAAATAATTAATTTACAATTATCTACTATTTATTAGAAGATTTATTTGTTTTATATATACACTTTTTTTTTAAATTTCTTTAAAAATACAAATTATGCTGGTTTCTAGGCATGCTTCTCTCGGTCAATAAGTTGTTTTAATATTTTATTCAATGGAAGGAACATGGCGGACACTTATATAATATGATTATTTTTTATATTTATAAATAGATAACGAGATAAAATATGCGATCAGAATGATATAAGCTGTATTATTAGAGTGATTAGGTTGGTTACCGAAATAATATTTTAGTTATGGTATCCATTGTTTTTATTAACACATAGTTTCGACTTAACAAAAACGTAAAAAGGACAAAAGCACGCGCATTAATTTTTTCAACTCAAATGTTTTTACTAAAAAACAATCACAAACAGTAGTACAAAGAAAAATAGTTTAATATATAAAAATACAGCTGCATACATCAACCCGAAATGAGGCTATGACTTAACAGAGTTAATAATTAAGTGTAAGGGTTATTTCACAGGGCTCCACTTGTGAAAGAATGCTCGTTTTACCTAATCAAATTTTAAAATAATATAATAAAAATGTCTAAGTAATAATAATGATATTGTTTGGAAATCATGGAATTTGTGTATCGCTATTATTATCGGTTGGGATAGTAATGTTTTACTAACGAATGCAAGTTGATACCAGTGAGTAAAAATATATTTGAATTAACTAACAAAATTATAAAGGGATCGGATCAATAACATCGGATATGTAGAAATTATTTAAGTTTAAGAGGAAATGTTTTTTTAGCTACGAAGCAGGACTGAGCAGATATTGTTTTTATAATAATTTGTTCAATTGTATTTATTCCTGGACGCACGATATCTCATAAGCTGCTGAACCGATGTCTTCATGAAAAAGTCTATTGGCAAAACAAATTTATAAAGTTCTCCCTTTCCTCTTCAAAGTGGAAGAAAACACTCAGATAATTTTTTTAACTTAAAACTAAGACGTGCTATAACTTTTTAAGATCTACTACTTTATTATTAAGCAAACTAAACTAACGTGTAGTAAAAAAATAACTTACATTTGTTAGACATTAAATTATAGTAAAACGTTATTTGTGTAAATAACCTAAGATATACATTGAGAGAAGTCATATTAATGTACTTGAATTAATAAAAAAATGCACTACTTTGAAGAAAAAAGAGTCAATATTTAGATCGTTGTAGCGGTAATATAATTTAAAATGATAAATAAAATGTTTTTCTTTTCAGGAATGAATAATATTCAAAGTGTAATCGGTATTGACTGGCGTGGACGATTTCATTGTGGTTAAAAACACAATGTGGCTTGTTCTTTTCGTCGTCTCTTCTCTGTATACATGGGCTTGTAAGTTGCTTTGAGTAATGAATATGTTAGTTGTAGATTTAGATTAACATAATGTTAATAAACAGTACAATAAAATATTTAGATGTTTTATAAAATCATCAAAGCATAATATTTAATACAAGTATAATACTTGTATAATATACTACATATTTTAGAATGTATAGATGTTTAAAATGTAAGTATTAAACCAATATAATAAGCTGAAAATTAAAAATAAACTTTTGTTTTAGTAGGTATTAGTAATATGACTTTGAATTTGTTAGTTAATCATTGAGTAAAGATCATACAATTAAAACATTAAATCCATATTAACTTGGTAACTAAAAGCCGAAAAGTGTTCGATACATTCCACTGTATTACAATTTTTAATTTTTAATCAATTACTAAAGTAAGTATTACACAATAGATTTAGTTACATAGTTACATTTTGTTAAAAATGTTCATACCCGGTCACATTGCCACTGCTCACTACAGTTTTAAATTGATTATAAGCTATAGTAAAACTTCGCTCGTTAACATTTTGACATATTTATTAATTATAATGGCATATAATTTGTTTCATGTACAAAATTGTTTAAAACCGTGTACCTATTAAAAAAAACATTTTACGTAGTGTATTATGCAATAGTTACCTAATAACGATGAACAATATGCTTACGTCAGTTTTAATGCTTTGTTCGATATTTGTGGTTAGTTAGTACATACTAAATTAATCATTGTTTAAACTTTCTGAAATATTTTCACTTGTATTAATTTTATAACTAGATAATATTCGAATTTGGCTACCCACCAGTATTTTTAAAACTATTTTTACCTAAAAGAAGTGCTAAAAAAAAATTAACGGAAATAATACGACGTAGTAATGTCATTGAAGAAAACGCGCGTAAAGATTTAATTTTCATTTAAAAAAAACACAAATGCCGTTTTTGGCAACGGTAAAAAACTCAGCCACCAACACGGATGTCTTAAGTGTGGTCGATGTACAGTTCTATCGTTTTTCAACTTTTGATAAACCTTTTTCTACTAGAAAACTCCATTGAAACATCACCTGACAACCTTACGGGGAATGCGGATAAAGGATAAATGTGTTTGGCGAAGTCCAACAATCCCTTTATTTTGTGTGGATATAACTTACCCTTAGTCACATTTATTATTAATATGTTTACACTTTACTAACGCCGTAGCTGCTAAAGGCATCAGAGTACCGCAAGGTTCTTGTGCGACACTCGACCTGTTTGACAACGTTAAATTTTTCAAAGCTAAAATAGTGATAGTTCATCATTTGTATGGTCCCGCGTTATTAATAGGTATAATCACGTGAAACTACAGACAAATCGAATACCATCCATCACAACCCACGTTCGCGATTGGGTTAGGACCAAACACCGTAAGAACTACATTATGATTTTTATTTGAGATTTTCCGTGCCTTTGGCGACACGTCATGGCTAACTCGATTTCTTTCGGGGAAAAAGCTTATCCCGAGGAATTCCATTAAAAGTTACCATTTAGTTACTCAGTTGCCACAGTAACTGATGAAGTTTCATTGTTTTCACGGTTATTCATACCGAGAGATGGTCGGCACGTTATAATACGTCGACGCCGACTTAGTGAATTCCAGACACTTTAAATAGTGGAAAATTGGAAGTGAACCCATTCGGTGGGTAAGGTACTTAACGTTCCGTCTATCTCGGGTTACACCGTGCCATAAATACCTTCACCGTCTATTTTCAATGACAGTAAAATAGAAAAATTAAACGGCCTATTTTCATCTGATTTAAAAAAAAATGCTTGCTGACCGATGCAATTAAAACATTATCACTTTCTCGATATTCATTTTTGACACTACTGTTTATGTAATTTATGTAATATGCAGTCACAAACAAAATGTAGAGTTTGCTGTATTAATGTGATAATGTGTGTGAGAAAAGTTTTGCCGCCCAAAGGATTTTACGAATTTTTATTGCATTATAAATAAAATAAGCATTACTTCGTTTGCATACTCGTATTTTGCGAGTAAAAGCCGAATTGTTGATTTTATTTTTATCGCTTTATCGATTACCGCGTACATGGTCACAAATATTACTTTTCACTCGAGTTTTATAACACTTTTTATAAAAAAAAATATGTATATCCCAGTGTCTCCAGGCCAAACCCAGTATTGCGAGACTATAAGCAGCTTTTGGTGTCAGTGGAAGAAACTTTGGCGATTTGCTCGTATAAACTTTGGAATGCGTTCCACTAGCACAATGCACTGTGTGATATAACCATTAAATTAGATATTAGTTCTATAGTTTCTATATTATCATCTGACACAATAGTTTTGATACGACTGCGTATAGGGAATGGTCTACTTGGGAGTTTTTTTTTTTGTACTTTATACAATAATAATAATATTACAACCACTCGCGGCGGACCGTAAACGACGGGAACACGCACATGTCCGTGTAATAAATTCTAGTATTGAATCGGAAAAGACGTTTCTTGATTTTCAATAATAAAATAATAACAATAACGGTGCTTAAGCACATGATAACGCGTGTTATTCGGTGAAGTCACGTGCCGATATTATTAATGTTGGATTAGCATGCATAGGTCAATGTCAATGTCAAAAATAGTTTAATTAAGTCGTACCCGTAGACCAGAGTTACGAAATGTAATTGGAAACTGCGGTGGATAAGTCTACACGTCCTAAGACGGAGTGCAATTTTGCAAATCGTTATATTGAAAACGGTATACTTAATCGGACCGCACGTGCCACGAATGCAAAAACTACCACAGTCGACGACCGGCCATTTCGGTGGACTGAGAAAAACAAATTCCTGTATTTAGCCCAGTACAAAAGGTGTCTATGTTATAGGATATTAATTTGTTAAGCATAATTTCCGTATGTTTATGGTCATCTGTTACCGTTATCAGCTCCTCATCACGCTAGCAGTTTAGTTAACAGCCAATAGTTATAGGGTAGGCAATGGAAATAAGTAAAATATTATTAATAATAACAATAATAGTACCATATAACGACTAAATAATGTCAAAATGCACTAACATATATTAAACAAATCAAATGGCATGTATTTATTCTTATAAACATCAATTAAGGGCTGGCGATTGACCAGTTACATTTCAATGGACCATTCAAATTCTTAATGGTTAGTGTGATTCGGCATACGAATAAAAAATCGAACATTTTTATTTGTATATGTAATTTGAATTTGAAAGCGATAAAATCATTTAAACATTGAATATTTTACAGTTTATACATATATCACAAGTATATAATTATAAAATTATAATATTACATTTTATAATGATTAATTATCTTATACATATTTTACATACAATTAAATTAAATATCAATGTTAAAATACGTGGTATTCTTACTATTGTTTTTGGTTATACTGGTATACTTAAAATATATAGCCTATTGACAAATTATGATTTATATTTTACAATTTGTTTTTAAAGTACAATGTTTTATAAATTAAACAGTTCACGATACCTAATATTTTATGCACTGTCCATATTATAAAATATATATTTTTTACGAGGAACAATTTTATTGTCTTGTCCCATGCGATGAGTTTTATTTGTAGTGGCCATAAAACAGAATAACCATAACCATATCCATGATGACAATAAACTTTGGTCAAAAAGAGTCGTTTGCAACATTTAAGTAACAAAAACAAAAAAGATAAAAATAGCTCATACTAAGCAATTTTAACAATTATTATTTTGAAAAATTAAATAATAGTTTACATGTATTGTACATGATAAGATAATACGAAGAAAATTATAAAAGTTGTATACTAATAAAAGTGCTGAGCCAATAAGCTGTTACACATAACAACCTTGTATTTAAGGCAACTCGCTAAATAAAAAATGTGATATTTATTAACTTATTTTGAAAAATGTTTTTATTTATTTAAAGGCTTCTAATACAATGTTCTTTAGCCTGTATACCAACCTATATGTGCGGGTCTAAGTTTTACTTAATTTATTACAGAAGTTAATTAACCACAACATACTTGGGGATAAAGATGAAGAGAACATGGAAAGTATAAATCTCATAAACACCAAATTTTAAGAAAATGTTAGAGAATTTTAAGACTAAAAAATATCTAATTTAAAATAAATAAATAACTATAAAACAATAGGCAATTATGTTTTATTACTAATAATTTATTTATTTATTTTATTTACAAATAAATTACTAATAATGACTCCATGCCGGTACGTTTTTCATTATAATTTACTTAATGCTTTATTAAAAAATGTATACATTTTTTTTGTACCAACTATTTACTTCAGGAAATAGATTAAACCTTTTTTTAATTCTTCATCTTATACTAAAAGAGCTTATTTCATATTTAGCCAAAATAAGTGTGAATATTTCTATAATACATTATTTTAGTAAAAATACCTACTCTTTTCTTTGTGGTTTTATGCCCAAAAAGTATCATCTGTCTGCGCATTGTTGCGATTGAAAATTAATAATTTAAAAAAAATGAATAAGTAGTTTGCCTACGCAAATTCTGACGTTTTCTCATTTTTTCTATAAAAGCAAGGTATACTTAACAATGGGTATCATTAGTAGAGTAAGTAATAGGTTATAATATAATAGGTTAAAAACAATTTTGTATTGTATATATAACACTACAAATTACAATAAGGAAATATGTCAAATATCCTTATTATTAAAATGTTAATATATTCGTGTAATAGTAATTAACCTCTGTGTTTTATTATTAAAAAAATAGAAAATAAAGAAGTGCGTGTTTACTGTTTACCAAGTACCTACGCGTATTATATATTTCAGTAAAAATGTTTTAGTGTGTTACGTCTAGTAGACTTGACTGAGACCATAAACTGTTTTTCATGAATAATTTAGTAGCGACTTCCTCTTATTTTTTTTTATATTCGACACCATAGTGGTATATTATACCGTTTTATATTTGAATGACGCTTACATCCATATACATAATATGTTTTAAATTCTAAATAAATACGTTTTATTGCAGTATCGGTTAAAAAAATATTTTTAAAAATCACCCAGTAACCAAAAAGTATTTAAAAATGTATTAATTTCAAAAAGAAATTCGCTTTAATTAGTGCCAAGCAGTCATTATACTCAAATAAAGTCACGTACAAACATCCCATTTGTAGATAAAATGCGGTGAACACGGGCATAATTTATCAATAGATGTATGCCTCTATCATAAAATATTTACAAGCTTTTAGATTAGTTTATCACGTAAGCAAAGTATTTTTTTTTACATTTAGGTATAGTTTTTTACTATAGGTTTACTTTTGTATGTACAGTCATATATATTTTTACTGACTTATAACATTAAATATTTTACAGCAAATTGTCGTCCTGTACGCCAAGCTGAAAGGTCATACTTAAATTTTACAAGTAGCTAATGTTATTGTTCAAAATAAAAATGCAAAAAAAACATAAAATATTAAATTTTATGTTTAATGAAGCGTATTAAAACACTGTTGCTTACAAAAATAATATTAAGTAAAATTTTGCAGTGTAAACACCATTAAAAATGGGTAAACATTTTAACAACTAAATTATGTATATTACCTAATATATTTTGTGTCTTGAAGAAAAATGCGTAAATCAACATCACTCTTTTTAAAAATATTCCAACTTTTAAATAAATAAATATAAATACAATTAAAAATAATTGTAAAAGTAGAATGTATGAATTTAATATAGGAACTCAAATCATTTTTCAAAATATTTAATAAATAAACTGATTAAAATATCTGTATAATAGTTTTGGTTTAAATTAGATTTCAAGCACTTTCTAGAAAATTTGAAACGATAATTCGAAAAAAGTTTGTTTTATTTTTTAATGCGCCTAATAATAAAATATATTTAGTCATACTAATATTTAAAGTAGTGAATACATTTTGTAAGAAATATTTTTCAAACTTCTTTAAGTACAAGATTCGAGTTAATATAGAAGACTGGTATTCTAGTCGACTATTTTCTAAGACCAAAAACGACCAAGACTGAGGGTTTCTGGTGAAAGCCTGAATTATTGCTAATAATTTTTAAATAAGTTTTATTGGATTGTTATTCTTTTTGACACTAATATTACGTATTCAAAAACTCTAATTAAACAATATGAATTGGGATATTAATGGTAATTAGCGCTTTTCATCCTTTTTGCAACTATATAGACCTGATTTAAAAATCCAAAGGTTTCCACGAATGCAAATACCAGTTGAAAACGTAAAATCAATTATATGTATATTTTTTTGAACAGTTTTTCAATTTAACAAAATTATATCTCATGTTAAAAAAAAATCGTATAAATATTATTTATGCTTTCCGAAAATTATTTTGTTTCATAATCATATTCCATCGACATTAGTTTTACAGTTATTACAATCGATTAATGTTAATTTTGATTTGTGAGTTCCATTTGGACTTAAAATCTAAGCAATAAAATTGAGAGAAAACACTGTTTTTTTTTCAATTTTGGTTGTTGATTAATAAAAAAAAATAGCAGTTATAGTAATTTTTATGTAATGTCGTGATGTTAGTAGATTATTAGTAAAAATGTTATTCCATAATGGCATTTTTGTTTAATATTTATGACATAACTAACTATATATGTTCAACTAACTCTAGTGCCCATAGGCGCATACAATAAAGAATAAACTTGTACACGCACCGTCTGAAGATCTTTTTGCATAATTTCTATGGGTCACATATCCTGTGTAGTGAGGAGAGAATTGCTATGATTGCTTTTATATATTTAAAATTTAAAAACAACATATTTTATTTGTCCACACAATGTTTTTTAGTTTAAATGCACAGAACGTTCATCAAGAATTTAACGAATTGTTAATGTCAAAACGCACAACTAAAATTTTGGTAAAATAAAAATCAAAAAACTGTTATAAAACATTGTTGTGTTGCCAAGCATGCTAGTATTCGAAAAATTTACAAAAACACATGGTGCGAGGATTTTTAGGTTATCTGTAGTAAATATGTTTTAATATCATAGCTCATTTAAATGTCTAAACTAAAGATAATTTTTACCTCTTATCATAATTTTTTCGGTTTATATGTTTACGTGTTTCGGTGTTTATTTATCTCTTTATTCATGATTTTAAATTATTACATAATACGTTATGTGTATAAGTAGTGATAGTAAAAAAGTAATCTTAATACAATTTGCATTTATATAAATAATAAATATAAAACAGTAAGCTTAAATTTTCAATTAAAAATAGTTTGTCAATAAGCTAGTTTAAGTTTTTTAAACAACATTGTTCTTTAATTTAAAATTATATTAATCATTATTGGCTAATTTATTTTGAAATTTCTTTATGAATACATTTACAATATTATACGTTTTGTTCAAAGTAAATAAATATAATATATAAAGACTATAATCGGACAGTGTGTGTGTGATCAATTTTAAAATAGCAATCTGTTAACATTATTGAACCTCAATTAATATTATATTAATAACATCATTCGAATGAAATTATACAATATACTGACTAAATTGAACGTGTTTTTATAATAACTTTGAAGTTAAGTTGCTTTGAATGTGGGGAGTGATAACCATTTTCTCTATATAAATGACTACACGAGAAGCACTTCAACTACCTTTACCCGGGACAAATTTTGTAGTTTCTAATAAGGGTTTAAGCATACGTTTTTCGAATTATAAAGCTGTAAGCCTACGCGATACAGGATTTAGTTCATAGCCTTTGTGTGCGGGTTAGATCAAGCGGGTAATAAAATATTACGATATAATACTATATAAATGAATCTGCGCACGAGGACAAAAGAGCGGGGCAAATACATTAAAGAAAAATCTCTTTAAAATATATTATATTTTTTAAAAAACTATAAAATTGTAATTTTTTTCTAAGAAATTAGTTAAATGTACCTTCTGGTCATTTTCATCATATTGTTAATTATGTACAACGGCAACAAATTACTAAGACAGTCGTTCAACCTTAAACCACCTTTATACAAAAATTAATTTTTAAGCACATTTTCAAAAAAGGTTGACTACAGGTTTTTAAGCAAATTGTCTATGTTATAATCTATTGAGGTGACAATTCGTATTAACTGGGAGCGTTTTGGGCCCTAGTCAAAATAAACTTGTGATTTTACTACTATTATCCATACACAATATTGATACAAGGTATATTTTATAGGAATTTAATTTTATTAAAATATTTTGTAGATAACTAAATGACAAATATCTTATATTATATTTTTTATTTAAAAATCCTAATTAAATCATTCGATGTTGGTTTAGGCGAAGGATTAACGGTCAAGGCGATTATACCAAAATATAGGGTTCGTGGTGAAACGGCTGTACTAAGATGCGAATTTGAACTTGAAGGCGATCAATTGTATGCAGTTAAATGGTACAAAGAGAATGAAGAGTTCTATCGATTCGTGCCCAAAGATAAACCTCAAAAAACGTCTTACGCCGTGGACGGCATTAAAGTCGATGTAAGTCACATTTTCATTTCAATGAAAACTATTTGCGATATAGCTGTTAATTGCTATAAAAAGATAATTCGGTTTTCATACTTAAGTGTGCTATAAATGTTCAATTACATTTTTCAGCATGCGCAATCCAACAGTCGTCAATTAACATTGAAGGATATAACATTAAAAACTACAGCTAATTACCGGTGCGAGGTATCTGCGGAAGCGCCTTCGTTTGCATCAGCACAAGACGGTGGCCGAATGGAAGTTATATGTAAGTATACTTTTGACATAATAGTTTTTTTTATAGAATTCTACATATAAAGGGGTATTCTTATGATTTACAACTGTATAATTAAAACGCAATTAATATGCTATAATATGTTCCAACAAATTTAACACAGTTTAACTATTATTTTTACTATACAATATGATAATAAAAAAATCTAACAAGGAAATACATATAAATAGTATACCATTTATATTATAAATCTGTTATAAACTATATAATTTGTATTTGTTTTTATATTCGAATAAATTTATTTTCCATTATGCAAAAGTTTATATTTTAATTTTGCTTTACATAATGACAACAGTGAAATATAATCGATATAAACAATTTTTGTTACGAAATTTTGATATAAAAATCGTATACGTTTCGAAAAAAAACCTGAGGCTATAAACATTTTTTTATATTAAAAATATTTAGTTATACAGTATATTTTATACAATATGTTATATGACATATGGACCTCCATATTTGTTGGAACATATTATAGCATATTAATTGCGTTTTAATTATGCAGTTGTAAATTATAAGAATACCTTCCCCTTTATATGTAGAATATTGTGTTTAATTATTATATAACCTATTCAATTTTTATATGCCATAATTCCTATAATAATATAAATGATAATTAAAACATGTTATATCTGCACAATAAATGTAATTTCTTTTACCTATATAACTGAAGTTTCTTGATGTCAATGTACTTCTGTTTTAGATATAATACCTCGTAAGCCAACTTCAATAATTTCGAAAATAATTTTTTGCATTCAGTTCTCTACCAATATTTGCCTTTTAGAAAATACTATTGTACTTAGCAGGGTTCAAAAACGGTTTACAGTTGTAGGATAAATCAAGCGGTATATGTAATTATAAAATCTAAAAATGTAACGAGGGTTTGTTTGGACGTGGATCGGCAAGGCTATTGAGCTATTTAACTGTCACAAAATAGCAAATCGGTGTATGCAAGCAAAATACCATTTCCTATTTATTCTCGGCGATAGTAAAGTGAGCGTGTGGTGTTATGGATGAAAAAAAAGTGGTCTCTTGTCTTATGCGTGTGTGTATATATATATATGTATATATAAACATATATTTTCGTCTCTTTATTTTTTTTCATTCAAATTACAATAGAAAACCTCTCCGCAAACCCCTTGACATTCGCCAAGTCGATATTTCAATATCGTCCAATCGTCACCACCGACATCGAGTTTGGGTTATCGTACTCGTTGACCGACCATTGTTCCCTACTGAATTATTCCGAGTTTACACTTTGGCTGCCGATAGAAATTTGAAAGTATATCGTCTCACACCAAAAATACTGTTGCTTTATATTTTAATAAAATAGTAGTATTATTCCTAAGTGAATTAAACGAAAGTCGAAAATAACCGAAAAAACGCTTGCCGAGTCGGCATGTAGACTTTCTTAATTTTTAATTTTTGGAAAATTGTTAAAATATATTTTGGTGTGTAGCTTTTTGTTTTTTCCTATTCACAACAAGCTCATTACGCATGTTTTCTCTTTCACGTAGAAAAATTACCTTTTTAAGACACTCCCGATATCGTATGCTTAAATATATCTTAAACCATTGTTGCAATTCTAATTTACTAACCTATTGAACATTTTAAATAGTTAATTGTTAATTATGAATATTATGAATATTATGTTCATGAACTTAAATTGAATGGCCAAAGTGGAGCTTTAGGACAGTCAAGTAATATGATTGATGAGAAAAATCTGGTTTTTACACATCACTTCACCTTCTCCCAAACTTTTAAACACATTGCTACCATAAACTAACTGTGCCTACTTGCAAACCAGAAAAATATTATTTTTTTATTTTTACATTGTAAATCGACTATACTATATAGACATAATATATACTGTAATTAAACGGTAATCAATTATGGATTACTTGTTTGGTTTTAAAAGTTGTGTTCATTTCCTATCTGCTTATGATAGTTGCCGTTATTAACGGATAAGAGATTTATTGTTAGCCAGCTTTAGCTATTAAGTATCATTATTACAAGTTTAACCGATATTGTTAATACTGTTAAGGTATTCTTGTAAGCTAATAAAAATAATACAAATTTAACAGTTTAATTTCAAAATGAAATAAGGTATTTCTGTAGAATTTAATTTTCTGTGAGGTAGTTGAGCTAGTAAATAAAATAGGTGTAGTAATTGTTTTACTGCTTTTACAGATTACCACTGTAATACAGATTTTTGTATACACAAACACCTGAGGAAACGTATTGATCCTTAGGTGACACGTACAGACTCTTTTTAACTTATAAACTGTGGCTTTACTACAATAGTACAACACTTTTTATTAGAGCTTAACCGAATATGATTAGTGAATGGTTTTAGGTATATGCAGTGTGCACTAAAAATGTGTTAGTTAAAAACTATATGAAAAATATTGTATAAAAACAGGAGAGGATTATGTTTGACACACTATAAGACAAACGGTCAGTACATCGATAGCACTTGATCTAAAAGATAATACCAAAAACAATATTCAATTGTAAAAAAAATAAAAAGCAACACAACTGGGTTGAAATTTTAAAAAATACGTTGTGTACGTATTACGTTTAATGTAGGGTAAAGCAAGTTAAGTTTAAAACTTAAAAAAAAAAGTAAATAAAAACCCAGTTAAATTAAAAATTATAATTATAATTTAATTTTAACTGTTTGGTGCCCAACTTTGATGAAAATAATCTATGCTCTTTTATGGTATGCAAATTCTAACAGTTATATAGAGCTATACTTTTTTGCGATAGCGTCGAATGTTGTAATAGCAATTGTTGTTTTTATAACAATAATTCACATTTTATACACAATAACTAATTAATATAATTATAATTTGTTCTTACCATTACCCTATGATGGCAGCATTGGGCCTTCAAGGCTTGTTAAGTTTACATTATGATAATTTGTTACAATCTTACAATACAAATTTTTTATATTATAATAATATCCAAACTAAATTGCATTTCAACGCATTAACTTACTCAATTGTGTCTATATCACTAAAACAGATTGCATTAGTAAAAATAATCGAGTTTAACATTCCCTATATTGTTATAGGGGAACGGTATACACGTAAATTGTAGTACACGGTACAGAATTTTGGGTATTTTAATTGCAACTGCGTTAGCATTTCAATACGTTCAGTCGTTGTACGCGTTTGTGGGGAAAGCTATTATGGTTAGGCTGCTCAACGAACCACTAGTTAAGTAGCTAACTGAACTCTTATCGTATATTATAGTCGTATGCACGTTAATACCTGTACACTACAATCACGAGTTGCGGAGAAACATTACTGGTCGTAGCTAATCAAAATTGATAATTTTAACACAAAACATACCGTGATATCGTTGTATCAACGATAATTCCCAAGACGAGCCGCGGTTGCGTCGACTTTCGAGCTTCGTCCGTTGTTCTTGTTTTCTTTTTATGATAAATTGCAGCTATCGGCATGGTAACTGCAATCGCTGTGGTAGTACGCTTTGCCGTTTTAAAGGACTTTGCAAAGGGAAAGTAGAAGGCAGGCGAGTACAGTGTGTATAACAGCTACATGGTAAGTACAAAGCACGCACACGATGTTCTCTAGGTGTTGGAGTCTGCCGCTTGTGTTGCCGTGTATGTGAATTCACCGTCATTCGACGTTTTCGAGAAAAGCCAAACAATTCCGTGACGGGCGTGATAAATTAAAAAGGTTTTCCGTTGCTTTGCCGCCGAGGTCGACCTATGTATGTACGGTATATTATAAGTTACCTTGCCGGGGAGACCTGGCTTTCCCATTCGGTCCGGGCAATAATATTTTACGCCGGCAACGCACCGAAAACAAAAATGCACGCTGTTGCGCTTTATCCGTTTTGAAAGTATTCGACTACCGAACACGATGGTATAACGTTTGGGGGGGGGGGGGGTCCAGCGTGAGCAAAACATTGCAGCAGTATTCGGGAAACTTCTCCTAACCGATGACCGTTGCATTGAGAGTACGTTTAATAACGCCCGGTCGTAAATCGTCGAAAATCCCTACGGTCCGAGTTTTATTCCTTTTGACCGGAACCTACTAGTCCTTTAGTAGGTTTATCAGACGGATCGTCGACACAATAGCTCTGGCCCCCATTTTCCGGCGTTGACAAAACAGTGCAGCGGAGAGCTCAGGATTTTGTATAAGACCTCACGTGATAATAAAAATATAAGACGGTCCGCTTTCACCTGTGCATAGTAATTTTGTATCGATACTGATGTTACAATTTTCAATTTCTAAAGAGAAAATAATTTTGTCCTCCATTCATATCTGATTAAATTAGGACATGTGGCTTGCGCCAATTCTTTTTTTTTTATATAAAAATCAGTTAGACAGCTAAAGATTTAAATTAAGACGCTATTTATTCTCAGACATTCTCAGCGGGAAAAAATGATAAATTGATAATTTTAATAAAAAAATGTAATCTTATGGAAAGTAATAATTTAAAAACTCTATTACCGATTTCCAAAAGTAAAAAATAGTGAGATTGATTTTACTCGACCTAATCCACATACATATTTTCACAATCACATTTTGTTAAAATAAATTAATATATATTGATACTAATATATTATGTGAACGGTGAACCTACTATGTTAACTTATAGATTTATTATAGTATAATATCACGATCATGTACCCTTTTCCTTAGAACTAAAAAGTGAAAGCGATATAAAGAAATTATATAGCATGTATCTAACTGCTTTGCGAAAATTTAATCTTCATCAGTCATGAATGACTGAACAGCATTTTCATAGAAAACGGTACACATAATAAAATTTAATTTTAATAAATAAATCAGATGCAATTAAGTTAATGTCACGAACTCTTAAATTATTAAACAGTTTCAGTTTGCTCATCTTTACGGAAGAACGGCGAGTGGGATGAAGACGGCCGTGTTGTCGCCTGTTCCTTTCTTGGCCATTCGAGCTTTTTTTATTGGTCG